AGATATACATATATATATATATATATATATATATATATATATATCGTTTAACAAAAAAAACAAATATATATATGGAGAAATTTATTAGGAGGTGTTGATAATGTTTTATCTGGGAGGTGTTGATAATATATATATGGAGAAATTACGCATAACGGCAATTTAGTGATAATGTTTTATTTACTCTGATTGTTGAAATATTAGACGCAAATTTTACGTCGTGCCGATGAAAACATTTAGAAAATGCTAGGTATTTGGTTTGAATTTTTATATATTATTTTAATTAATATGCAGAAGTGTAGAAAACAAACGCAAGAAAAATATGGAATTTGCCACCTGGATGCGATTGCATAATCAGACTAGAAAAACGAAAAATTTCGGAATCTGTATCCCTAAAATTTAGGGTTTTCAAGGACAGGAAATTTGGACCTTTTAATCTTTTTATTCCACTAAAGAAAATATATACATTGAATATACTGCATTAGGTGAGATTTTCTAAAATGAATTGAAAAGATGATTAATATATAATATAATAAACAATAGAATATCGGATAATATTATTAAATCTCCTTCTTTTTCAGAAGGAATATTTTATTTGAATATGTGTTTGTTTCCTTTTCTTAAAACCCATGACCATGAGTAGCCTTTTGTTATTTCGACACACACATGCAACGAGTGGGACATTGTAGAAGTGGAGAAACCTTTTTGCTTTGTGTTTGATGTAAAGCTCTGATATAAGAAGTTTCTCATCGTAAATTTTAGAAAAGGTAACAATGGACCAACACATAAAAAATAATATATATATATATATATATATATAAAGAATATAACATGCTTATGACGTGATGAAATTTTAATTTTGTAAAATAATCATCAAGGGGTGGTGGCGCAGTTGGCTAGCGCGTAGGTCTCATAGCTTCTGAGTTATCCTGAGGTCGAGAGTTCGAGCCTCTCTCACCCCATGTTTTTGTCCTCTAAAGTTAATTTTAGTTATTTAAATTAATTTGTATAAAAGTCCTGAAAATATGGCGTGATATGTTTTTTTTTGTATCGCAGTGAACGTATATGTCCGTCAAATCTCCACCTTGATTGAGCAATACATTTATGATATTGGAACATTTAATGATTTTTTTAACGCACATGTTCCAATATAATATTACCATATTATCACATGTTCCACCATATTATCAGGATATAGATTAGTAATGGTGTGTATCAATGCCTTTTATATATTCTTGTATGATTTTTTTACGCTCTAATCAAATCAGATCTAGAACTAAACCCAAACCCGGACATATATATTTTCTTCCTTTTTTAATTTTTACTTTAATTTTTAAAATTTTGTAGTTAAAAAAAAGTTAGACGATTTCGTTTTTATTTGTTTATTACTTTCACTTTATATATTTACGACGATTTCATCGTTAGAAACTGAATTTATTACATGATAGTATTAAAACAATAATCAAAAGAGGGAAAAAAAATCAAAATACTTTGTTTATTACTTTCACTTTATATATTATGGTTCTGTCCAATTTACTCAGATCGTTGAACGTAAAGAGGAGCTCGAGATTTTAATAGATAAAGCTGAGAAACTCAAGAATGAGGTATGAATATATATGATTATCTGTCTAATTTGTGCTCTTTATTTGAATTTTTTTATCCATATATACATATATATATATATAAGGACACATGAAATTAATACTAATCTTCATTATTTTCACATAAGTTAGGTTAAATAAATTCGACTATTTTTAATGATATTGGAACATGTGATAATATTACCATATTACTAATCTATATCCGTGTGTATGTATGTACCGTGGCGGACCCACAAATATTTTTGAGCAGGGGCAATATTGATTATATAAATTTTTATGGGGGCATTATATAAATAATTATATTAAAATGATAAGTAATCTTTATAGTTTTTTAAGTTGATAAATAGAAGCAATTTTAATTTTTTTGGGATGTGAATGGGGGCTAGTGACCCGTATGTATGTATGCATGCATGTATGCATGCATGTATGCATGCATGTATGTATGTATGTATGTATGTATGTATGTATGTATGTATGTATGTATGTATGTATGTATGTATGTATGTATGTATGTATGTATGTATGTATGTATGTATAAGTTTTTGTACATTGGCTTTACAATGATTTGTGTGATATAGGCCCAATCATACAAGAGGGTTGCAGGAGCCATGAACAAAAATTGGAAAGAAGGGCCGAAGAACATGAAGAGCAAACTGATAGTTATCGTTGTCATCATCCTCTTCCTTCTCATCATTCTTCTATGCATCTCTCTCAAACTTACCGGTTTGATTTTTTCGGTTTATCTTCACAATCAAATCTTTGCTTGGATATAGATCCCCCGGTTTGGAAACGGTTAACAATGTCTACAATAACATGACCGTATTTGGAATAGACATATGAGTTAACGCCAAGCCACAAAACAAACCGAACCAATACCACTAAACCGGTTCCGGTACAAAGATTTCAAATTCCCTTAGCAAACCAACTGATCCACGCAAGAAGAGATCTCTTCGAAGACGGGGAGTCTTTTGGACCGAGACGGTCCCCATTGGGCCATCAGTTTCTCAAGCCCATTAACAAAGTCCATATCTAGGCCCAATATATCATCGTCATCATTGTGATCATTACCACTAGGAGGCTCATCCATGGCCTTTATCTCGGCGAGAAGCTCCTCCACGCGCCGCCGTGTGCTCGGGCCATCGGATCCCGAGACCCGACCAGCAACGACGTCGTTTAGAATGGCTCGGCCCTCGTCGGAGCGGGCTTGCTTGATGAGGCATAGGGTCAAGCTACAAGCTTTATTTGCATCTGGGTCCATCATTTGGGCCTCCTTGTATAATGTCTCTGCTAGCCTGTAATCTTGTTTTTGCATATAGGCATAGCCCAAATTTCCCTGCAAACATCGATCATGGGTCCATATTCACCATCATCATCATCATCATCATCAACACTATTATTATTACTCTAACCACTATCATATACTTTAGAACATATCTTAAGATTTAATAACATATATATATATATAAAATTGAATTTTCGAGTATTGGGGAGATGTTTTTAAACTGTACGTACGAGTATTCGAGAGGTTTCTTTAGGGAGAGTGACTTGGAATTTCTTGCCATGGGAGCGAGCCGTTTTGGTCACTCTCCCATGGAAGGCATCTCCTTCATACACAGATCTCAGTTTCTTCTTCAAGATTTCGATCTGTTCGTCTATTCTTCCACATTTCTGCCCAAACCCGACGCATAAGTTAAGAATCTCATCATCATCATCATCATCATTATATATAGATATAGATATGGGTACCTTGTATAGATCTATGAGGATGTTGTCGAGAGAATCTTGAGAGGTCTTGGGGCAAAGAGACCTAAAGGATCTAATGGCTTCGATGGCTTCTTCGGTTCGGTCGAGCTGTTTCATGACGACGGCCATGTCCTTAAGAGCACTCTCCACCCTGTCTCCTCCGTTTATTGCTTTCCAAAACCATACCACTGCTGCTTCCATGTCCTTCTCTACTACCTTTTTCATTTCATTTTCATATTCTTGCTTATAAATAAATACATGTATGTATTTCAGTATTTATTATTAGATTTTCACTTCGTTTGGGTACCACCCAATTTATTATAAATGTATATATATACGGAGGTTGACTAAATCTTCGATCCAACTATATTTTCTAGAGTAATCGTGAAAATCCATATAAATATCCCTTCTTAAATGAAAATTCGAATCTGGATTATCTTTAGTTGAAATGATGATGGTGTTCTCTATAACAATTCTTCTCAATGAAATAAAATTTTGGATTCGTCAATATTGATCTTGATCTATAGAGATTTATGAAGATTTTGAGATTAAATAGGTATTATAGTTTATTTTAGTAAAAATTTTAATACTGTAAAAAATAAATTAAATAGAAAACATATTAATATCCCGTGAACTCCTAATATATTTGTTTTTATTGTTTCGTGATATTTTAATCAACCATAACATAATTTATTTGCACTCTTTTGTTACGTGAACACTCTTTTAATGGAATCTCTTAACTTTGGTAATTCGAATGTCGAAATCCCCAACCCATTTTAATTACACGTAACTTCGTAAACTATATATTGTTGAATATGTACGGAAACACACACACACATATATATATATATATATATATATATTTGAATAAGAAGTTAAAACTATAGAGAAAATATAAAACTATATATATGAAGAACCTGAGCGTGTTTGGCTTTGACATAAGGAGAATCTCCATAAGGGACCTTGTGAATTACATGGAATCTATCTCTCTGCCTCTCGTTTCTTTTACTATTCGCATCTCTCTTCATCTCTCTCTCTCTCTCTCTCTCTCTCTCTCTCTCTCTCTCTCGGTTTCTCGAAATGGATATATATATATATATATATATATATATATATATATCACAAACATATATACACACAAAAAACA